ACCACGGCTCGCTCAGCTTCGGCCACCTTGCGGCCTAGTGTGCTGCTGGAAGGGCCTCCACAGCTCGCCTCTTCTCTCCGTGCTCACTCCAGACCTGGCGGTGGTAGGGGTGGGGGTGTTGGAGACTTGGCCAGGCCTGGGCGATGGAGGCTGTTAGCAGCCGGTGCTCCCTCGGACTGGGCCCTGACCCTCCTCTGGCTTCCAAATCCCCCCCGCCACAAAGGGCCACTCGGAGCCTGTCCCATGACCAGCATCCAGGTTCCCCTTTTCTCTCCTAAGCCCAGGCCCAGGGAGCTGCGGGGTGTGACGCCTGGATGGGGGAGGGGGGCTTCCTGCCGCCGGCCCATCCCCCAGTGCCTTAACCTCAGGTTCCTCCTAGCCAGTCAGTCCCAGCTCAGGCTCCTGTAGGGGCCTAGAAGTCCCTGTCTCCCCCTGGGTGCCCTTCCTCTGTTCTCACTTCCAGCTACTTCCTCATTTGGTGGGGCAGCCCAGCCTGGCCCAGTGGTCACCATGTTGTCCCCCCACTTGCCTCACCCCAAACGCTCAATCCTGTGTCCGTGCTGTGTGTTTTGGTGTCACTGCCTGCCTCTCTCTCTCTCTCTCTCTCTCTCTCTCAGCCTCGCCATCTCTTTCTCCTTCCTTATGTTTCTGTCGTCTTGGTTCTTTTTTTCTTTCTCTTCTAAGGGTCAAATATCTGTCCCTGGGTCCTGTATTTCACTATCACCTTTATTTCCTGTGTGACCTTGGGCAAGTGTCTTTACCTTTCTGTAAAATGGGGATAAGAGCATCTACCTCAGAAGGGTGCTGTGGGGGTTAAATGAGTTAACACTTAGGACAGAGTGCCTGCGGCTCATTAGTGCCCATATCCTGATGGCTCTCTTTTAATAGCCTGTAAACATCACAAGGCTCTGAGTATCAAGTAATTATAGCTGATGCTTATAAAAAGCTGACAAGTGTGGGACACTGTTCTAGAAACATTAATTCATTCCATCCCCATAGACCCCTACAAAATAGGTACTATTTTACTCCTCATTTTACAGATAAAGAAACTGAGGACCAGAGAGGTTGAATGGCTTGTTCAAGGCTGCCCAGCCAGGAAGAGGCAATGCTGACGGCAATCATAGCTACTGACTCTCCCGTTACACCGATGACTGACCCCTGAGTGGGGGTGGGTTGGCACATTTCCTTTTACGTTCCAGTAGTTAGGGGCTATAGCATGGCCCCTGGAGCGTCTTGGCCTGATTCTTTCTGGCGTTATCTGTCTCTGTCCCTCCTCCTGTCTTGTCCCCTCCTCCCTCCTGCCACCACCCACCTCAGACTTCCTCCTTCACTTGGTTGGACGCTACACCATATCCCACCGGCCCTTGAACTCTGGTGTCCAGCAGCGTCACCTGCGTTATGGGGGTCCTTGGACCTTCCAACAGGCTCCTGTTCCTGCCTCTCCTCCTGACTGTGGGTGGTGAGTTGGGGGCTTCTGCAACTGCCTCCCCCGTCCCTGGGCTCAGCTTGGAGCAGAGCAGAGAGCAGGGTAGAGCCCAGCGTAGAAGGAGAATCAAAAGGGAGGTGGAGGGAAGCAGATCCCCAGCTCTCTAAAACTTGTGGGTCTCTCCCAGAGCCTGGGCCCCCAAGATCTGGCCTCTGGCAGAAGCGGGGGTGGAGGGACTCTAACGGTGTTGCAACAGGGCAGGTCAGGGTAAAAGTAATACAGTCCCGTGGCCTTGACGCTGACCCACAGGTCCCACCAGACATCATTCTCCACTCTTATCTCCTAGCTATCAGGACCCAGCCTCCCCAGCCTTCTGTGCCCACCCTGCAGTCACAGCCCCAGGCCTCAGTTTACCTTCTTTTTCTCTCCTCAGGTTTTAGCCCTGCCCAGGCACAGAACGGTAGGCCTAGACCCTGCAATTCCCCTCCCTGCCTCCCAAAGACTTCCCCATCTCTGTTCCCCAGTCTTTCCAAACCTACCCCTGCTGACACCTCCTCCCAATTCCCAACTCCCACTGACCGCCCCCACAACCCCTGTGCCACATTCTCAGAATGCAATTGCTCCGTGGTGAGTCCCGGTGTGCTGGCGGGGATCGTGCTGGGGGACCTGGTACTGACCCTCCTCATCTCCCTGGCTGTGTACTCCCTGGGCCGGCTGTTCCCTCGGGGGCGAGGGGCTGTGGACGGTGAGTGGGGCCGGCAGGGGAGAGCCTGGGCCCCTCTGAGGACTTGCCTGTCAGGGAGGGGTAAGCTCCCAAGTCACGACCATCCAAAGGGACATTGATGGAGGGACAAAATTGTCCTGATTCACAACCTTAACTGTCTCTGCACCCTGCACTACTCCCCATCCCCCAGCAGTGACCAGGAAACAGCGCATTACGGAGACAGAGTCGCCATATCAGGTGAGAAACCCAGCTTCTCACATCTCACTCCTACCCTGTGCATGTCTGTCCTAAACACCTCCCCAGTCCCTTTAGGACCTAGACCCTAAAGCCACTTTCTCAGCAACATTTCAAACCCTCAAAGACTAACGGGGCTTTCATGATCTGTCCACAAGGGCTTTCAGTGATCAATCATGACCTTATGCACAACTTAAAATGTGTGAGAAAACCCAGGGATGGCTTTACCTTTGCAAGGGCAAATGCAGGCCTTAACCTTCAGGCAGGCACTGAATTGTTCAGGACAGAATGATTTCTGGGAGAAGCTCTTAGAAGGGCAAGAGGATATAATTCAGCTCTAATTCGGTAACTCTGAAGAGAGGAGTTTTAGAATTTTTTGGAAGGAGGCATCCTGTATCGCTTTGAGACGCTGATGAAAGCTAGAGATTCCTCAGAAAATCCACACAAAAATTTACAAAATTGTACATATAATCTAGGGGC